AATGTCTTTCTAACATAACATGACATTAAGCCACAATTAGTGTTTACACAATGACCTTAAGTTCTAAGGTTCTCTGCCTCCCCTCATACTGTCTTGTGATTTTAAACATTACACAATAACATTGAGTACAAACATTAAGGGAAAAAACCACATCCTAATTAAGTTTATTACTTCGGCTATTAAGGTTAAATTGCATGTAGTCTTTTGGGTCTTTGAGTCACCTTATGAAAGCCAGGAAGGATTCTAGTTTGAAGTGAAATAATTCCAAAAAGCACTGTACCCCTAGATATTCTGCTGGAATACGGTAAAGACCTCTGCCATCTGTTAGTGCACTCACTTAATATCTTTTGCCCCACAAACACTTGCAACATCCTTTTAGAGATCTGTTTTTTTCTTTTCCTGGGATGAAATCCCATAAGTCATTTTTCTCAGGGGATTGTAAAGCTCTTTACAAACAACCGGCCTGATTTTACCTCTAATTCTTTTATTTCAAGTATTTGGGAACTGGGCAGACGTCATGGCCAGAGGGACACAGTTGTATTGCTTTAATAATAGAGACAGAGAGACAGAGAGGAAGAAATGGGGAATAAAAATTGCTTTACTTTCCACCTTATGCCTGGACCAGAAACCCAAATGGGAGTAATAACAGGGGCATTTCAGTGGTCAAGGAGACACCCTTGAAAATACAAGTTGCATGGTAAAAGGAGGGATAAAGCCACACTTGTAACCGTGACATCTAAGGAAGTTGTGTCCCTTGGTGCCTTATTGTGAATGCACGGTCAGGGTGCAGAATCAGTTGATGTGTCCAATTTCACCAAAAAGGCTGTAATATGCATGGGCCCCTGTATTAGCCATGTGACTCTGTTAATAGATCTTGCCTGATCTTTATGCGCTTCAATAAAGCCTGTGCTCAACCAGTTCTTATGTTTCAGCTAAGAGGTCCCAAAGAGTTGGTGGTGATAGCACTTTTAGAGAATCTAGAGAAAGAAGATTTCTATTAAGTCTGGCCCAAAAAGTTTTAAAACAAATTGTCAGTAACTTAAATGCCTATTATCAGTTCTACATTTAAAGATATTAAGTATAAGGCTGGGCATGGTGGCTCAGTCTGTAATCCCAGCTCTTTGGGAGGCCGAGGCAAGAGGATTGCCTGAGCCCACAGGTTCAAGACTAGCTTGGGCAAATTGGTGACACTTCATCTCTACAATAAATCACAAAAACTAGCCGGGCATGGTGGCATGCGTCTGTAGTTCCA